AATCACCGATTTGTTGAGAAGAGGTGGGTGATATAAAAATATTTGGTCAAGATCTTGTGGAGGAGATTACAACCAAGATAGTTAAGATCAGGAAGAATATCCAGATAACTCAGAGTAGGTAAAAGAGTTAAGCGGACACCGGAATAAGGGATTTAGAATTTGAGAAAGACAATCGAGTGTTTCTTAAGGTCACTCATTTCAAGAAAATTAGTAGGTTTGATAAGAGGGAGAAATAAAATTTTTGATTCATTGGATCATTTGAAATCTTAGACCGGATTGGTATGTCTGCCTACAGACTAGCACTACCTCCAGCTATCCAAGATACATAATATATTTAATGTGTCTATACTACGCAAGTACAACCTGAACCCCTCACACATCCTATCCTATGAGCCCTTTTTACTATATGAGGATCTATCATATGAGGAGATACTAGTAGGCATTGTAGATTGAAAGAGCAGAGTATTTTGCAACAGAGAAATTTTTTTCGTCAGGGTCATATGGCAGAATCATACTCAGAAAGATGCAACTTAAAAATTAGAATCAGACTTCAGAGCCCAATACCCCCACATGTTCAACTGAGTGAGAGGGTGATAAATTTGAGGGATCAAATTTTTCTTAAGGGGGGAGAGTTGTAATACCCGATCCCAAAAATTGGTCAGGAATAATCTTTTTAATTTATAAAAATTATATAAATAATTAATTTTATTTTATTTAAATTATTGAAAAAAATGAAATAGGGACAAAATTGAAAATAAATTTGGAAAAAATGAGTGAAATTCGAATAAAGGGATGTTTTTGAAAAAAAAACTTGAAAACATGGGGTAAAATCACAAAAAAGAGAAATTTGACCACGTGGAACAACCCAGTCAGCAACCACGGCGAATCAGAGCACGCTGTGTGGCAAAACACGCTAACATTGGCACCACATGGGCGATCCGCGTGCTTGGTGATCCGACAGTCCCAATCATGTCCTACGCACACAAACGACTCAGATGCATTCCTTCTTTAGGCCCGATCGGACGGATGAGATCAATTGTGATGAACGACCTAAATTCACCCACGCGATCGACCTAAATAGGCAACAATCGGATGACTCTCCTCGCTCCATGTCGACGCAAATAGATGGACTAGATCGATGTGGGATGAGTATTTAAAGATCACATCTTAATAAACCCTAACCCCAGTCGCACTTGCCTTCGTCGGAGGAGAAGAACCAACCGGTGAAGAAGAAGACCAAACTCCGACTGACGCTGCACTAAAGTCACCGCCGATCGCCAAAAAAGATAAAAATATCCCCTTCTCCCTTAAAAATCGATTTCGAGTCCCCCTGTAGCCATATCGGAGTAAAGGAACAGCAGGTGAGCCAGAAACCGCAGGTAAAACCTGGTAGAGCCGCCACGACCAAAACCCTAGAACCCCTCTGAAAATCCCCTTCTCGTTTCCTGTTTCACACAATTTTTCAATCATTGTATTCATCGTTCTTTTCTGTGCAGGTTAGCCGAAGAAGAAACTCTAACTGCGAAGGAGAATCGGTGGAGCCATCGCACCCCGAGAGACCCCTGCTGGTAGGTTCATTTTTTTTATTTTCTGGCCAACCGTGACCTCCTAACGTATTTGTTTGCAAGGATAAGTGTAAAACTGGCCAAAATCGGCTGAAACCGGCTAGACAGAGATGAACCACCGCCATGGGCGATGGAGCCAGCGTTGGAGCATATGGCACCATTGTGCTGGAATCCTAAAATTGGCCGAAAAGGGATTTCAACATCGATTCTCAATTTTTGAGATATTTTTGGGTATGTGACGAGTAATTCAATTTATGCAGGAAAAATTCAAGAAACTCGGGTCCCGTCAGGTGTAGTGGGTAGCACGGTATTGCAAAACACTGATTTGGGTAAGGATCGCTTGTCTATTCTCTGTCACAATAAATTGAGGGTTAATAATTAATAATTGTTTGTTTTGTAAAAAAAATAGAAAAATCTTAAAAATAATTACAAGTCACTAATAGAGACACAACCGGTTAGTTCATTATTTGTCCTAATTCCTAATTTATTTTTCTGTACTGCTTAAATGACTTACTATTATATTGTGCGTATTATATTAATAGATTTTATGATCTTCTCGATTATTTGGTTTATTTGATCCCTCCTGTATTGTTTATTTGGTTATCTAGTTACTTGGTTATGTTAAACTATATCACTTGCTCAAATGTTGCTCAAATTGATCATTGAATATGAAATGAGATGTTGATATGTTTTGGTGGTTGTTTGGATGATGATAATCTAAATAAATAAAAGCTTACGAGACATCCTAGGAAAGGGTGGACGGTTATACATAAGGAACCCTACCGTGAACATTACCTCAATCGAACAGGGCTGAGAAGTTCCACACCGGAAGAGTGTAGGGAAATGTGGTTCATCCTCATACCGGATGGGGTATCGAGGTGATGGTGCTTTTTGCGCTCATTACCGGACGAGATATGAGAATGGTCGGGTTAATATTCAAATTTTGATATTGGGTCCATGAGTAGATGATATCCTTATGGACCCACAGGGGTTTCAGTAAGTAGGTTAAAAGAAAGAATTACTGATTTTATGTACGAAATTAAAATGTTACTTGACTATTTATTTTTATAGATTGTTTTCAGGAAAACCTATAATGATAAGTATGGAATAAAACATTTTAGAGTTAAAATTATTTACTTAAATCAAGAGTTCCATTAGTTATTTTATAATTTTTACTAATTTTTGATTTTTTGTATCAATGATTAGTGTGATATTCTTACTGTGGCGGTGTAACTCGCTCTTTTATTAATCATTTTAAATAAAAAAAAATCAAGATTCAGATCCTGATCAGTAAGACGGTTGTGAGTAATTTACCATATGGACTTCATTCAAGTGCTAGTAAATGGTTAAACCCTAGGATATCTATTTATTTATTTTTAATTACCGTTTATCTTTTTATAAACAAATGTAGAATGGATATTCCTGTAAGCTTATTTGGCATTTCAATTTATTGTGTAATGAATATAAATCCTTATATTATTGTTTGCTTTCGCATTTAGAAATATACATTATTTTATTTGAATTCCGAGCTTCTACATCATAAGAGAAAATTATTGTTAGAGTAACTTAATTTGTCTCATTTTAAGCTTTAAAATAGAAAATTGATTTGTGGGTGCATCTTAAATATATATATATATATATATATATGTATATAAACAAAACCTTAAAATTAACACAAACATGAAACACCCAAAAAGAAAAAAAGACATAAAGGGTTTAAATTATTAAATAAGCTTACTCTAACACGTAGGTGTATTAAATTAAGTGATCCCAAAGCTATTAATTAATTATTCCATAAATATGGTATGACAAATGATGATAATTTATAGCTTCTTATGCCACGAGTATATAAGTATTAATTAATGTAATGATTAAATCAAATTAAAGTAATAAATCCCGATGATTTCGAACATCATCATTTCTTGAAACTAATAATATTTTTTATTTTCTTAAACAAAAAAAAAACGAGAAGATTATTTAAAAAATTGGGAATTTGCAATTAATGAACTAAAGTATTTAAAATGATTAAAGAATAAAAAATATAAGCGGAAAGATATTAGACAAAGGTGAATCTATGCACAATTTAATTAAAATATAAATCATATATAATTTAAAGTTAGTGTGTATAAAAATAGTAGGTAGGTGGTATGTAAAACAATGATTAGGAATGGGCACGGAGTCGGGACGCTTTCAAATAATGGATTTCATCACTAATACATATTCGTGCACAAACCACTTTTTGTTACATTGGGGGGGATATTCATTAATTTAATTCTAAATTAGGTTAATTTCATGTTCCAAATTATTCATTTACCACAATATTTTCACTTTTTTACTTTTACCATTTTCTCAATTCCATTTGCTATTCATTTTAGTTTCAAATAGTTAAAGATTTACAACCTCTAAATAATTAGATGATTTTTTTTTTAAATTTTAATTTACGTACATATCCGTTACGTTTTGAAAACTATAATATAATTCGTACATTTTTTTTTAATAATTTGATTATTGAAGATATATTATATGATTCAACAAAATAGTAATCAATTTCATCCCAAATTAATTTAAATTTAGAAGATCAAATATTTAAAATTAATTTTAGATGATGGCGGAGTTAAAATTTATAATTGAGATATCTTAATGAATTTATAATTGAGATTACAAATTTTAATGATGTATTAATATTTTTAATCTTCAAATTATTTTTAGTATCTAATTATCTGAATTAACATAGTATTTAACGAGTGCTAATTAGTACGGTTCCTCAAAATACATGATTAATCATTTAATACCTTTTATTTAGGCTGGTGAATAATTAACTGCATAAAATGGAGAGTTACTCGTAAGGACGTATTTTTGAAATACAGAAGAATTCGATTAAATTAATATATTAAAACAGATAAATATATTATTTAAAATTATTTTTAGTGCAAATATAATTTAAATAGCACTTAAAATTTATAATTTAATTAATAGTTTACTAAAAAATAAGTTCAATACTCTAAAGAGTTATATTTTATTGGCACGTTATAATTTACAATCTAATTAAAATTAGTTAAGGGCAATACAGGATAATCTCAATTACGGAAAGATAATTAGGCTAAGTAGAACATTAAATTAAGCATTCGTTTCCCGGTCCCTTCCAATTACAGCACGTGACACGTATGCAAACTTCTGTTACTCGCTACTAGTAGTATCTTATTATAATTAATTCAAGAGTGCAGCCAAACGCAGCCTTCGCTTGCTTTCAGTCTATCATCGCACCTTACAAAACTTTTTCTAACCGACCAATCATGGCCAAGTTAATTGGAATTTGCAAGGGGGACCCGTAAATTGTCTCCACTTACCTAGATGTCCATTGGTTTGTTATCGGAAAGAATCTCACAGGCGGTAACTCTATCAACAACAGCGCATCCTCACTATATAGCATCGAATCAATGGCTGCAGCCGAAGCTTCCTCTCTCTACCTCTCTTTCTCCTCTCAAAACGTTCTCTCGCTCTCTCAAACCTTAAAAAAGAAGTTGCTCGTGCTCTATTTAAACGAGCCTTTCTCTCTCTAAAATCATTCGTGTTCATCACCTTTTCTCCATAATTAAGAAGTTTCAGCCATGGGATTTCCAGTTGGGTACACAGAGGTCTTCTTGCCGAAGCTTTTCGTGCACACGCTGTCCCTTCTGGGTTTCATCAGAAACCTCATTTTCTCGCTCTTCCACTACCTCGGCCTCTCAGATTTCCTCGAGACGGATACGGTGTGGCCCGAAAACCCGACCCGAATGCCAGACACGCCGCCCGTGTCGGCCCTTCTGATCCGGGAGATCCTGCCGGTGATCAAGTTCGAGGATCTGACGGGAATCTCTGGGGACCCGCCTGAGAGCTGCGCGGTTTGCCTGTACGAGTTCGAGGGCGGAGAGGAGATCAGGTGGTTGAGGAACTGCCGGCACATTTTCCACCGGGCGTGTCTAGACCGTTGGATGGACCATGATCAGAAGACTTGCCCTCTCTGTAGGACCCCCTTCGTGCCTGATGAGATGCAGGACGAGTTTAATCAACGGCTCTGGGCTGCTTCCGGAGTCACCGATTTTTACAGTGAGTACAGCTCTGTTCCAGGATTGTAGATCATGACTAATTGAGTGCGAGAGTTTTTTTTTTTTTTTTTTTTTTTTTTTTTTTTTCCTTCTAAATCTTTTCCACTTCCGCTCTCTGAATTGTATATATACATGAAAGATTTGGTACTTGGCCAAAAACCCAAGAAATAAAATAAGAAAAAGAAAAAAAATTTTGGAGTACAGTTGATGAAATCTGGGTATGGAGGAAAAGTTTGTTTCTAATTTAGTGTTTCTTGGATTGAGACATTCACTTTTTTCTTCCTCATTTTTGGGATGTTTATTTTTGTAGGTTTCTTTTCATTTATAATTACGTGTATGATGGAAATTGAAGCTTAACTAGTTGGATTCTATTTTCCTGTACCAATTTCCGCTTTATAGATAGGGAGGAATATCTGGTTTTAGATCAAGAAGAAATGTAAGAAAAGATCCAGTGTGTATACGTATATGTGCGTTTTTTTGATGTATACTTCCACTAAAGTATCTCTGCAGTGGAGTATAATTAAGAGATATTTTGATTAAGACCCAACAGAAAATTGAAGAAGAAAAAGAGAGAAACGTTTCCGAGTTTAGTAAACGAGTAGTCCAAAGGGTCGGATAAGAAGGAAGATGAGGTTAGAAGGAAAAAGCGGGTAGTGGGTCGGGTGGGTTTTGTTTGTGTTTGGGAGGTGGGAAAGTATTAATAAAATGGCGTAAACGTGGGATTGTTGAAGTTTGTTAAGCTGGTAGCTGACCGATTTGTTAGGATCTTGTCAGTTCCTGTCAATGGAAATCTTGGATTTTGATCAAACCCAGGTTTTGTCAATACATTAAATAATTAATTTTCAGGGATTGCAATGACCCGAATCCAATTACACGTAATATTTATGGGTTATTAATGGGAAATAATAAAAAAATAATGAAATGATGAATCTGTAATTGGGAGCACACAGAATCTGGGGAGAGTGGTACAGAGTGTGTGTGGGCAATAATGAAAAGAGAGGAGTCCAGTTGGTTGATGATGGCAGTGCAGGTTTTTGTCGCGATGTTCTTCTTGTCAGCAGTATGAGAAAGTTGCAGAGCATTAATGGAGGTTGGTGATGATGATGATGATGAAGAAAGAAGAAACTGGAAGTTGAAGTCTGTGCTTGACCCATCTCTATCTCAGGCACTGTAATTCAGCGGTAAAGTTTAAATCCATGGAAGCTGTACAATTTTATTTGTAGTATCTAACACCCCACATGTACTATTTTTTTTTTTTTGTTGGTTAAAATATTTTGCGTAATATTTGAATATTAAATGCTTTAAATTTTTATTTTATAAATCTTCATTAAAAATTTAAAATAAACTATTGTTTTTGCTATTTGCCAGAATGCCATCTTTGCACATTCGTAGCCCCTGGCCCACTTCTTTTTACCACTTTTCGGCCTTTTTTTTTAATTAAAAAATAATTAATTAATTTACTTGAGTGAAATTAATTATAAAATTTACAATTCTGTGTCAAAAGCTGGGCTTACATAAATAATTCAGCCCAGGACCAGCCAAATCAACAATCTCGATTAACGAGAGTCGTTGATTTTGATGACCTGCAGAGAGGTCAGACATCCATAATAAACTACTCCCAGGGTGCCAGGATAGCCGTCGATCCTGATGACTCACGACTTTTCTCCACATTGAATTGCCGGGTAAGGGAACAATCAAAACGACGTCTCTCCTCCCGCACAACATTTTCTCAATTAGGTGCAAAAGTAACGTCCAAGACAAACCTCGTATTATTTTAATCATAATAAATTTTTAGTAAACAGTTAATTATAATTACTATTTTATTTTATTTTAATTATAAAATTATAAATAAATAATAAAAATTAATATTAAAAAAAAAAAAATTAAGAAACAGAATGAACCGGGTTCAATATCAAAATCTGGTTACCAAGTGTTTTATATAATGAACAATGTAGGATAAATAAGGGTATTTTAGATATTTCACATAAAATTTACGAAAAATAATTTATATTTTGATAGTTCAATAGATTTAATAATGTATTTTCAGTGGGTAATGATAGATTCCAGCATTTTCCCGAGAACCAAACACATAATTTAGTCGTGAATTAATTGGGAGAGGCTGGATTTTTCATTAGGGAGAAGAGGTGCGTGGACTTTTTGACAAATGAAATTGTACATATTGCAGATGTGCAAAATCTATCATGACTGGATTTGAAAATCATGTCTTAAGATCTTGTACTGGAAAATTGGATTTTCTTTTAAATTATACTTAATTAAAATAATCCCACCATTTCATAAATCAACAATATAATTATTGTACTAGTGAAAAAATTTACATTCGAGCTTACAATTTAATTGGGAGTATTAAAAATTTCAACGATTTTAAATGTTAATATTTAGAGAACAAAAATTTACCAAAGTTCAAAACTCGGTGTTCCTAAACAAAATTTTATGTTTGAACCCATGATACTACCACTTCTTATGTTTTAAATGAAAAGAAGACAATATATTAAATGAAAATATGTATATATCAGCATACATTTTGACTTCGGATTCAATTATAGTATCCTTGAAATTATTGTAAAATAGTATTTATTTCGTGTTAAATTTTATAAAATACAGATAAATTATATGTTAACAATATATATAAAAAGTAAGAACATATATAGAAAAATCATCAAACATTGAATGTAGTCAAATATTGATTCAAAAAACCAACGAGCGTCAAAACCCTAGCCCCTTTCTCTTCTTTTATTTTCTCTTTAAATCTTCTTCATGACATACTGAAACTAAGAGTTGCGGCGCCCCTCTTATCGTCTCCTCTCGTTGATGCTATCTTGTTATAAGGTATGTTAAATATTAGTTTTGTTTTTCATTTTTTTTTATTTTAATTACATAATCTACGATTGATTTTCATAAATCATAAAGTTTATGACTGTATTTTGTTAATGGTTTATTTCTTTTGTTCTCATTGAATATTTTTATAAGATTATCTTAAAAGTCATTAATCTACAACGAAAAAATAATTTTTTTCATATCACTGTAGTACCGACAATGAAGATTTGAAAAAGTAGTTCAAAAATTTGAAATTAATGTTGAACTTTAAATATATGTATTATTAGGATAGTTGTATTTGATAATGGATAACCGTCAACAGTAGATAGAGAAGACAAAATTCTTTTGTACGTCTTTAAATCTTTAAGTTTTATGCATA